AAGTGAGCAGCAGACACCATTCGGACACCACAGTCCCATATTTATCTTCTCCACTTATTGCAAGTGCAAATATTTTTTTCCCACCCTTTTCTTCCTACAGGTCGTACAGTGGTTCTACTGACGTAACTCAGGATATTAACTTGATTCCCCTTCTCTTTCACGTTGCCCCCAAAAAGACTCAATTTGCATTCATAGAGCTTTTCTATTAGATTTTTCTGAAATTGCATTGTTTTCCCAGTAAGAAGGAAAACTGTGTTTCGCGTCTCTCGGTCACTCGTGGGTATTGCTATTAGATCTAAAAGTCAGATGCAGGCACATTTTTAAGCTATGTATCATGTAAATTGCTATATGTTTTATTCATCTCACGCATCCACGCGTGTTTGCGTGCACGCTTAATGCAGCTACCTGTAAGCTCGTCAGAATGCAGCGAGGGTTATGCTCACTTTCTGGGTGCTGGGTTATAATCTTGTAAATTGTTTGGAAGCAAGCCGGAGACGGTATGGTAATCCGCTTGTGTTTATCACCCGGCAGCAATCACAGCGCACTCCTGTTCATCTGGGCTTATCTGTCTTAAGACTTGCTTTTAAAGTCATTAGGTGTAAAAGAGACGGTTCTGTGATAAGGCTTTAGAGGGATAATATACAGAATTACACAGCCTGCAGAATAAGATGGGAAGGAATGAAGTGGGTCTGATATGAGCTGATGTGGCTTCCTGATTAGGATGTTTATGCAGCTTTATCAGAGCCTCGCAGGAAGCTGCTTCAAGAACAAATGCCAAAGAATGGGGCTTTTTAGCTCCACAGGTCAGAAAATCCCAAAAGTGACCTCTAACAGTTGCTTCTCATAAGGTGTCCCAGACATTTTGTAGCCTGGATCAGAGAGATTTCTTTTAAATCCCACATTCAACCAGAACAAGCAGCACCACAGATACAGATGGTCTTGTCGACGATGCAAAATAGTTGATGAGTGGAACCGAGCTCCCAAAAATCCGACTTTTACAATCTTGACCCAACAACTGGAGACTAGCATTGTCAGCTGCTCAGCTGTTGTTACTGATAATTAGCCCTTTTATCGCAGTGGTCGGTGATAACCTCTAGCTCCACATTTGCTCCCCTTCACCACCTCTTCATTCCTTTCTTCCTTCTTCCACCATCCCTTCATCCAGAGTCACATTTTAATGCATTCAGCTCTTAACAGGCTTGATAGCAGACAGAGAGAAAGAGGCAGTGGAGGTACAGATAAAGTCTCCTCTCTCTCTCTCTCTCGCTCTCTTTCTTTCTCGATGAATAGGAGTTTATCACTGAGGCTGATCTCTCCATCCACTGCTTACTGCCTCATTCCATATTCTTGCTGCATCACTGCCTTTTTGCTCTCTATCTCTTCCTTTGCCACTTTATTTTTTAGGCTGACCCGTCTGTCTCCCCTGTCAGTCTCTAAAGCCCGAGCAAGATCCCCGTCTGTGGTGGCAGGATGTGTTGTATTTGACAGCACTGGAATGGGAAACTAGTCCGGCAGGATCATTAATATACACAGCTTTTCTTTAACTGTTGGACTGTCACATCTCATAGTTATTAAATTCCACGGTTGTGCTTTTAAAGGTATGGAAGAGGGTTTTTTTTCTCAGAAATTAACTGTTTAGATTCATCTTAAATTACTTAATTGATGGCTGGCATTCTTGCACTTATGGTCCCCCCCCAAAAAAAATATTTTTAAATCCATAAACTCTGGCCGTGGTGGGACCCAAACAACATTAGCCAATTTACTTTGCCTACTGTCGAAAGTGGATTGGCTACTTTTGCGTATGTCCCCCCAGTACGTTATTTAGGTAGGCTCCAAGCGTAACTTATACACTGTTTGGCTAGTTGTCCGCCATTACGCCGAAAAACTAGTTATTTTTGAGTAATTTTTTCACTCTTTTGCTTAAACTGGAGCATCAATGGCCATAAAGAATCCTGACAAACCTAACTGGAAAAGAAAGCCTTTTTTTTCGATGTAGCTGTAAAGTGGGAGAGAAAGTGGGAGAGAACGATCCAATTGTGTTCAGTAGATTCTTTTCAGAGATGGCGTGCCCCGAAGGGTCTGAAAATGGATGCTTTGGTCGCAAAACTTCTGCTGGACATGTAAATTACTTTTAATTCTGTAATGAACCCTTCTGTAAACACTGTATATTTTTAAACCTGCAGCAACACGAACACACTAATAAATTGTATATATAACTTGCAGTGAAAATGCCGGCAGACTTCCTCTTCTTATGGAGATTTCATGCTGACTAGGTGAATCCTCGCACTTTGCTGCCTCTCTAGGTGAAATACAAAATTACTGGCAGAAGTATTTCCAGCAGAGAGAACTTTTGCAAAGGAAGGGGTACTCACGCATGCGCAAAATTCAAAAATACACAAACAGCTTTTGGACATATCTTCCACCTCAGAATCCTCTTTCCTGCTTTTATATCTAAACCTGCAACATCATAAGAGCTCATGATTATCTAGATAGAAGGAACTACCTTTAACCACTTCAAAGATGTGTTAAAAACACAAGATATTTGCAAGTATTAGCTTTATTTTTTTATTGAGTAGTGTAGAGATTTTTTTTATTATTATTTGACTTTTATTTAGTTGAAGGAACCCCCCCATGTGAAAGTATTCAAAGCATTTTTTTTTTTTTTTGCTGTATTCAGTGTTTTTTCAGGTGATCCTGCAGATTTCTTTATTTTGATTATTTTACCATCTCTAATTTTTACCTTTTATTAATCTGGATGTGTAACGAACGGAATTCGAGGACCCAGAAATCAACCAGAACACAGAGAAACGGTTTAACATTTTATTATAAAGAAACTGCAGCAGGATGTGAAAGTCTCGTCTGACATAGGAGCTGGATCTCTCAGTCTTCGAAAAAATGCTTGTATCCAAACACAGAGAATCACCAGTGTCGCCTGTTGGCTTGTGACCTCACAGAGCCTTGTTTTGCCCAGAAATTCGTCTAGGACATCTAAAGGGAATCTCTTAGTGTTTGTTAAAGGCTTGTCCTACGGAATGCAATGGGTCAGAACAGCGAGAGCAGAATCGTGCAGGTATAGCAAAAGGACCAACCAGAGTGAGAGGTCCGTGAGCTGGTCCAAGGTCCAAGCCCGGTGATCTGATTTCCAGAGGGAATCAGAGTGGCTATCAAAGGGAGTTTCAGGGCACCGTTCCAGGTCTGGTAACAGATCAGAAATCAGATCAGGCTGGTTTCAGACAGGCTCAGATAATCTAGAAACAAGACAGGTCAGGCAAACAGGCAGGGAATCAGATCATATGGGGTTCAGACATGCTCAGAAACAGGGAGGGATCAGGTCAGGCAAACAGGGAGGAAGTCAGGAACAAAATACTCGAATAGATGTCAGCGGGTGGCTTGAAATAATCTGGCACTGATGTCTGGTCTGAAGGCTGGTTATATACTAATAGGTGAAGGTGGATCAGATGAGTGGTAATGAGAACATAGCGGAGCTGAGCAGTTGTTTCTTGTAAGGAAAGACCAGCATCAGTGCTGAGATCATTACAGGATGAATAATTGGAGTTAAATCACTCTTCATTTGGTGTAACTGATATAGATTTCACCCACCCTAACAAAAACCTCAATGCTATCTAAAGTTTGCTGAAATCACTATGATTGTTATTTGATATTTGCTAAGAATGAGATAAACTGAAGAGAAAAGGGCCACAATCTGATTCATTGGTCCTCAACATCAGCAGGACCAAGGAGGTCATAGAGGAGGACTACAGGAGGTCAAAGGAGGCTGAACACCGCTGCATACAGAGAGGCGGTAAAGTGTGTGGTTTGCATCGAGTTCCTGAAAGTTCACATCACCTCTGACCTCTCCTGGACAGAGAACACCTCCCACTTGGTAAAAAAAAAGGATCAACAGCAGCTTTATTTTTATTTTTTTCTTCAGGCAGTTGAAACAGACTTGATTCACTTCTCAGCTGCTCAGACACATCTACAGGAACACCATTTAAAGCAGATTGAGCTTTTCCTTCACTCACACAAACCCCTCCTCAGAAACACAAACAAAATGACACACAAACTACTGGTATTCTGAGTAAATTGGCCTCTATATTATATTTATATAACTGTCAGAAAAAGAAAATCAATTATCAGTTTGAGGCTCATTTAATATAAATGAAGAACTTCTTAGATTTATTAAAAATGAATGTGTTTTATAGAAGTTATATAAAAATATTCCTAGTTTCCTGTTAAAGGTTTACCTTTCTAATTTTTTTTGTTTAAGTTTAGGTGACTGCAATAAAAGACAAAACTATATTTTTATGCAATAATTATGGCCATTATTTTGTTTTGAGGAGTAATAAAGTAAAAACAATGAGGAGGACTCTCCATGGTGTTTTTTTTTTTAATGGAACTCAACTTGAGAATGTATTTTTAAGATCTTTTTTATGAGATTGTCAGAGAGACTGTCCTGCAGGTGTTTTCCTCTAGTTGGTATTCTAGGAGAAACTGTTTTTATCCAATATTTATTTTATGGCTAGTTCAATTGTGTGGGAAATAAACTGTGATACCTTCAGAGAGATCTTACAGGGCTGTTATTAAGGTGGTCACTGAGGAACAGAGTATTTTTGCTTCTTCCTTTTTTATCTATGTTAGACCTGTTCTTTATATCTCCTGCTTCCTCTTCCTTCCCTCTTACTCATCTTCTCTTAGGTGATTTTTCTTGTCACATCTACTGCAGAAGGCTGTTTCAAATGGTTATTGACAAGGAGAGCTGGGGATTTGTGCTTGCACTTATCGCTAATATGGAATCCTGTGCCCTTGGGTCTCTTCTCTGCTTCTTGAACTCACTTCATCCTCTTCTCTTTTATTGTACTCTCAGGCTTTCCTCTCTTTGTGTCCTCTTTCATGTGTGAAATAATATCTTCCTCCTCTGTTTTTCTGTTTTGATTTATATATTTTTTATTTTTTTTTTTTGCCGCTCCTCTGACACACTCTCCTTTCTGATTTGTCAACAGAACCAGTTGAGGACTGGGGGATAAGGATGAAGGAGAAAAAAAAGGAGGAGCAATTCTGAGTATATTGGGGATTATAGGTTGATGGACTGACAAACTCAGTCAAAGCGGAGTAGGAGAGGAATGAGTCAGCACCAAGACACGCACCTTCAGAACCCTGTGGAGCACCGAACCAGACTAGACACTGAACACAACACCCTGAGAAAGAAATAAACACACTGTTTTCCTTAGCTTCTACCTTCCTCCCTACCTCTTTTACCTTTTGTCGATCTCTCCTGTGAGTACGGCAGAGAGGCAGTGGTACTGTGTGATGTTTTGGATACACAGCATGGGGGAGAACAATGGGATACAACACGACCGAGCTTGGCCGTAAACTTTACCTCAAACTGTTAACCACCTCCAGAAAGCCAGCCTTCCCTTTCTCAGGTTCCTTGGACTGATATCCTCTCACCTTAACTGATAAAAACCAAATGTCCATCCTAGTAAATGTCACATCTACTTTGTTCTCCATCATTTGTTGTTTTCCTGCTCCTCATGCACAATAATGTATACAAATACACATATAGGCATCTGTTACATCTTTGCAGTTGTTTGGTTTACAGTAACTTTGTGGTGATTTTCATGTTAGTATCTGTGTCAAACTTTCACAAACACCAACACCTGTTTGTTTTGAGGAAATAAAAGTAAAAAATTATAATTTTGTTATGAATTTGTTCCTTTATTCAATCAGTCATGAGTAAAGAATAGGATATGTTAGTGCCTTAAAAGCCTGCAGTGCTACTCATACTTCATAAGGCCTTTCTTGACTTGCACAAAGCTTAAACTGCTAGCACTGTTATCAACCCACGTAAAGGTCATACAGGATGATGTGGATCTGAATATTTGAAAATAAATAATTCTTGGTCTGAGTAAATTAGACTTAAATGGCCAAAAGATAAATTTTGAACCCAAAAGAAAAACAGACATTTACATACAAAACCTTTCTTTTCCTATAATGAAGGCAATCATTATAATATACTTACATCTTGTTACATATGTAGTAAGTTTGGTGCCCATACAGTAAGCAACTGAGAAGTTATACATGTTTAGATAAAAATCTAAATAGATGAAGGGAGGATGTTGGGCAGATAGAAAAAGACCTAAATATACATTTTATTCCATAAATTAATTTCCATATTTATTCCATAAATAAAAAAAACAACTCTGCAATCAAGTCAATCGAAATTACCTCCTGGTTGCCTACTGTTCTCAAACAGGGATTTTATGAAGCCTGGTGTTTTCTCTTTCTCTAAAATAAGAAAAACAAAACTGTCCAAGTAATTTACCTAAATGAAATAAAACGTTCTTTACTGTAAATTCTTTTACTTATTGACCATTTTGATTTGCTGTATGACCAGATATCAATAACAACTGTATGGTTTAGGACCAGTTTAGCGCTCAGTAATGTATTCAAAGAAAACTTTAGCCTGCTTCATCAAACTGAATGGGTGGGACCCAGGATTTGGAGTATATTCTGCAACAGAGAGGATTAAATTTCCCTCAAAACTCTTAACTCTATTTTTTATCTATTTCCTGTCTTTTCCAATACAACTTCATTTTCTTTCTGTTTGATAAAAATAGCATTATTTTTCTTAGACAAATATTCATTTTTTTCTCTCGTCTCTCTTTGACTTCTCCCAGTCGCAGACTACAACTTTATTCTCGCCTGTCAGAGCTCTCTACATTTTTTTTTTCTGCATTCTGCAAAACTCCCGCTTGGATTGTGCTAAACCAACAAACTGCATTTCTACGAATTTAGTCTGAGTGGGCGGTGGTAATTCACAGCCTCCTTTTACAGCTGCCATAATGGTGGGGATGTGTTGTTAAAAGGGACACGGCCTGAGTCTGATGTGATCGCAGGTCATCACAGAGGAGAACTTATCTTAATTCGGCATCAGAAGGAGCAGCTCTGTGATGGACAGGCCAAGAGGAGCAGGGAGTGTGTGTGCGCAAGCGTGTGATTTGTTGTGACTAATCCGCCTCTGAATGTCAGTCAGCTGTCCTTCTGCTTTTTGACTTTTGGAGTCTCAGAGGGGTTAAGGCTTTTCTGTGTGTGTGTGAGGGGCTTTCTAAAGGTTCTGGGTAATGGATTTTGAGGTTCATGGCAGGTGTTTCTCCAAGGACCAGAACAAGTTTCCTTTTTTGTCATCTTTTGTCACTTGTCTCTACAATCTAACAATGCACCAAGAATAATCAGTTTAAGTCTGCATTCACTTTCTAATTGGATAACATATCTGATACGTTAGAATATGATTACGACGAGAAAAAAAACTAAAAGTAGCTTTTTTGGAGTCAATTTTTTTCCACCATGGCCCCAAATGCCATTAAATATCTATAGATAATACGACACCAATAGTTTAATTCTGTTACGTCTATAGAAAGAAGGAAACTTGATTGCTTTAGTTGTTAATAAACTGGTAGATTGAATTTGGATTTTACTGATGGAAAGAAAGGCATCTTGATTGCAATATCTTTTACTCCCTATGCTTACAAATTAAAGACACTTGTATAAAGTTAAATGCCGAATTCGTTCTATTCATGCAAACTTCATAGTCCTTTCAAAATGAGTAGGATTTATGTTAAATGCTGCAGCGCTTCTCCTTTTTAAATTATTTGCCTTTCTTTTTATTCAGTATGTCTGTTTTTACAGTTATTGAATTATTATCTTCAGTGATTTTTTGTTTGTTTCTTAAGACTAAATGCATTTACTACCTTAAGACTGAATGTATTTACTACCTAATTCATAATAATAGTGACAGTAATAATGTGATAGGATATGGTTAATGGTCACGTTTTGTTTGATCTGCTCCCAGAACGTTTTTCCACACTTGTTGTTAAAACCAGTGTATCTGACTTCATATCTGTCATTTTCTAATTTTACTCTTTCTGATCGTTTCCTCGTTTGTATCGGCCATGTGAGAATCAAGTGTGCAGTCTTATCATGACACATGCACTTCTCCCCTAAAAAGCCTTCCTAATTTCTCCAGTCTTTGTCATGACTATCGTGCTTTAGATTATTCTAATTATGATAATTTCTCTTTTAAACAGACAAAAAGGAAGACCCTCAGAGGTCAACCGCACTGTCACTAGCTGCTGAGCAGATGGTGATGGTGCAGTATGCATGCAGAGTATGTCGCATTACAGGGATAATTCTGACAGATTGTTTGTGAGAAGTACACACTCTACCAAATGCCATATTGCCTTGAAAAAGGTATTTATATGCTTTGAGTCAGGCCAAGCAAAGAAAGCATGCTTTTATAAATTCTCTTTAACAGTTGTTTCCATTTTTTTTTTATTTTTTTTCATTTTAAACATGCAGTAACAGGTCAGACGAGGACTAATTAACAGTTTGGTCTATATTTAAAATTTCATATGTGACTGAAAAATAGCACTGCCATGAAGACACCATACACCTCCGTACAGAAAAACATGGTAGTGGCAGAATCATGCTGGGGCTCTGCTTACTTATAAGAGCCCATTATTATACCCATTTTTAAATTGGCCGGAAAACCAGTGTACGTCCGGGAACAAACGGTTTTTAGTGGCAGTGGGAACAGCTCACTGACGCGTGTCTACCCGGGTCAAACGACTTGGCAAGCAACCCGTGTTAAAATGGCCTCAGCTCTGATCGGCGTGTTGTGGGAACACCAGACCCAGTTTGACCCGCTAAATTACGTGATAACTTTGAGCGCAACATACGTACGTCACAGCTTCGCAACATTATATTTTAAATAACAAGCCCAAAAAACTCTGCTTGTATTCAAAAAACATGGCAAACACTGGCAAGATAGAGTGATTTGTGAGCTCCTTATGATCCGCAGAGAAGAGGAGATTCGTCGGCAGGTTTTAGGCATCGTTCGAGTACGCGCTGCCTCCCGTCCATGTTGCTCTCCATTATTTACTTCACAGATTCCCATTGCACTGTCGACATCAGATATGCTCACCTAGCGTGATGCCTTCATCAGACACATCAGACAATGGCCATTCAGCTTGCTATTTTGGTCAAATGCGGTTAGCAGGTCAACCCAATTTTTTGTGTGAAACTGTTTTTTATTAGTTTTTTTTATCAGTTGTTAGTTTTTTATTTATACATGAAAATTGAAACATCAACAATACACATTTGTCCTCTTTTTTTATGTGAACAAAAAACAAAGACAATACAAAATCAAAACCAAACGAAAATGACATAAATAAACAACAACTTTCTCAACCCGCCTCTCTCCCTTTCCCTGGGACTTACATCTTATCACACAGAGAATCAAAACAAATTATCCTCAAATAGAGTTATTAATATATTGCTGAACCCAGTTTTTTAAAACCCGGGATTTCAGGGTAAAAGGGGCTTCAGACGTTGTTTGAGGCCTGGTTCCAATAGACTAAAACCAATTTTTGTGGTCCTAAAGTAAAACTGTATGAGGGAAACCTAACCTCTCATTACCTTGTCACTGGGTGGTGGCGGCATCATGCTGTGGGGTTATTGTTATTCAGCAGGGAGTAGGGAAACTGATGAGTTTTCAGCCTGGACTTTATGCATGGAGTAGCAAGTAAAAAGGAGGAATTATCCACGGGTCTGTTAGATAAAAGCTTCACATTATAGTGTTTAATTTTTGGTAATAGCTTGTAACATTTAGGAAATAAGTTTAGATATTTTTTAAATTATGTTATTAAATCATACATTTTTCGATTATTCAATAATCTTAGAAATCTGTATTAACTATTCTGTCATCACTCTGCTTGTGTTATCTTCCATTTTCAGAAGCTTATATATCCCTACAGTGTTCCGGTCTCTGTGTGAAACGTATGCCTTTGTTACTCCCACCAACACCAGTTCCTGTACTGGGTTGCTCATCATAAAGATAAAGAGAATTTCATTTCAGTGCTTTTATGATATTTCCGTTCTATACTGCCTCGATTCTTTAAATGAAAAAAAAAAAAAAAGACATATCACAAAGCACTTAACTCTGCAGCTTCTCTACCATGATGACTAACCACATTGGATGTAATGACCTTCTCTGAGGAAAGAAGTGCTTTTCACTTTAAAGTCCTCCCA